GGTGGGGATCATTTCCTTCTTCTCGTTCTCAATAACGGTAATGCCCACTTTCTTTGGCACAACATGAATGGGGCTAACCCACTCGCTATCGGCCACAGAAAAAATAATCCCCTCGGAATAGAGCTTAAGAACTTCCGTCTTCACCACTTCTATCATGTTCGGGTTAAGCCACTGTTGGCTATCCCGAAATGGTTTAGCACCTTCTTCTAAGATGATCCGATGCATACACGTGGAGGGGCTAATACCTTTTAGGTCTCCGAGGCCCCACCCGATGGCTCTTTGATGCTTCCGGAGCACCTCAAGTAGCTCTCTCTCTTCATCTTGCTTAAGCTCGGCGAAAATGAATACCGGCTTTTGTCTTCTATCGTCGAGGAATACACACTTGAGGTGTCAAGGTAATTATTTGAGTTCTAAGGTCGGTTGCGTTCGAGGCTGGTCGGCTTCGAAAAGATCAACGGTCGGTTCTTTTTCATCGTCAAAGTCGGGTACGTGCCTCGCCTCCTACTCTCGCTTGGTTATTTCTTCAACGAAAGGGTCGGTCACATCGATAAATGCACACTCCTCCACGAAGTTCACCGAAGATGCGGATGTGGCTTCCCGAACGGAGATGGACACGGATTCACCCAAGACTGTCATCTTGAGGGTCCCGTTCTTCACGTCGATGAGGGTATTGGTGGTGGCCATGAATGGTCGGCCGAGAAGGATGGTGTGATCCTTCATGTTCTCGTGCACGTCTCCCACATCTAGAATGACAAAGTCTACGGGGACAATGAGCTCTCCCACACGTACAAGCACGTCTTCCACCATCCCCTTGGGGTATCGAATAGAACGGTCGACAAGTTGGAGGCACATACGGGTTGGTCTCAAGTCCCCGAGACTGAGCCGCTGAAAATTTGAGAATGACATAAGGTTTATTCCGGCTCCAAGGTCAAGCATCCCCGAAGCTTCTTTCCCATTCTCGAGGGCTATTTTGATCACGAAGCCCCCGGGATCACGTTCCTTCTTTGGTAGATCATGGTGCATCGCACTCGCCGCCTCGTACACCACGACCTTCTCCCCGTCTTCGAACGTCCTCTTTTTCGTCACCAAGTCTTTGAAAAACTTCACGTAGGACGGCATATTCTTAATAACATCAAGTAGCAGCAAGTTTACATTGACCTTCGAAAGCATGTTGTAAAGGTCCCGTAATTGCTTCTCTTGTCTATCATCCCGAAGTCGGCCCGAGAAGAGAATGCGTGGTTTGAATGGATTTGAGGACTTGATTAAAATTAGACCCTCCACCGGCTTTCTCGAATTGTCCCGTGTGCTCTCCTCGACATCATGCTCCTTCTCTTTGGGCTGGTCGGTCGGCTTAAGTTCCTCCGTCTCGGGCATTTTCACTTGGTTATCGACGACTTTCCCACTCCTCAACACGGTGATCGCCTTTGCTTGCTCGGATTGGCTGGGGAGCTTCCCTTTGTCGGATTCGACCTCCAAATTTCCAACTCTCGTAGCGAGCTGGCCAATTTGCGTCTCCATACGCTTGATGGTCGATTCTTGGTTCGTCATAAATTGGAGGATTTTTTCTAATTTGTCGTCTTGGGTGAGCGAGCTAGGACTGGCCCCTTGGGTTTGCATTCCTCCTATAGGCTCCTTTGCGGTTGTTGTTGTTGAGGGTAGTTTCGTCTCATGTGTTGTTGTGGAATGAAGTTGGGACGGTTTTGTTGTTGCATGTAGTTCGGCTGGTGCTGCTGGTTGTTGTTGTTGGACCACAAGAAGTTGAGGTGATTTCTCCACCCTAGGTTGTATGTGTTCGAATAAGGGTCATTGGCCCGCCGGTTTTGGTATCCTTAGAGAGCGTTGGCATCCGCATATTGCTCCCCGAAGTCTTGGTCAAAGGCTGCCGGGCACACCTCGGATCGGTGCCCGTGGACTCCATACGTTCCGTATGTTTCCACCGTTATAGCTTGCACCAGCTGGACGCTTCTCGCATTAAGTAGCCTCATTTGCTCCGTGACCTCGGCTATTTGGTGAGCTAATATATCTTGTCTGGGAGCTATCTCGTGTACCATTGTCTTCTTCCCTCGACTGCTCTTTTGAGACGAGTTGGCACTCATCGTCTCAAAAATCTCCATCATCTCCTCCGCCGTCTTTGCCCCGATATCTCCACCGGCCGCATTGTCCACCATATACTGAAGATTTTGGTGGAGGGAATCGTAGAAGCTGTTCATCAATAGGGCGGGTGGAAAGTTGTGATGTGGACATTGTCTTTGTAGGTCCTTGAAGTGTTCCCACGCCTTGTGTAGTGGCTCGTTCGGTGTTGTGTGAAAGACACAATTTGGGAACGGAGCTCTTGTGTCTTCTGGTGGGAATAGTACCTCCCAATGAACTTCGAATACACTTGCTCCCAAGTAGTGAGGGAATCGGGAGCAAGCTTCATGAACCAAGCCTTAGCCCGGTCTTTGAGTGTCTCGGGAAAACACCTCATTTTCAGCTTGTCTTCGTTCAAGTTGTGGAGAGGGAAGGTCTGGAGGACATTATAAAAATCACGGATGAAATGGAGCGGATCTTCACTGGGGATCCCGTGAAAGGATGGGAGCTGGTTGTAGTGTATCGTCTTGAGCTTGTAATTCCGAGCTGTCGGTCCCAACCGAATGCAAGAAGTCACCAGTCCAATCACCGGTTGGGCTAAGTCCCGGAGAAGATACCACGGGGGGTTGTTTACTTCCTCTTTGTTGTTTTGGTCCATTTTGACTTGGTTATCGGAGTTTGATGATTCGATAGAAATATTGGCGAACAATTCTCGTAAATCCTTGTTAATGGCTTTGTCGCTCGGAATGAGTACACGGCCACTCCTAGTACGCATACAAAAACAACAATACATTACGAACACCCGTTAACGAAAAAGAGCAAACGACAAACACCCCGAAAATACTAATCGCTACTAGAAAAATAAAACAATAAACAAAGAGAAACACAAAAACAAATGAATAGACGCACGAAATAATTCTTAAACCTTCCCCGGCAACGGCTCTATTTTGTTGTAGTTTATTTTACCGGAGTAGAATCAAAATATTCGAACACCGGGTCGTGTTCTCAAGGAAGGTTAGCCGGACTATTTTGTACGTTTATTCAATCACAAAAACGCAAATATTCCTAAACACTCTACTTTGATTTGTAGGTTTTGATTATCAACTAATAAAATGGAAATGAGCGATTTAAACGTAGCAACTATAGAGCACAATTCAAGAAGATAAATGTAATTCAAATACAACTAAACGAACTAAGGTATTGGGGACAATCGCATTCGGTTTTACATAAATTTGACGGCAATCAACAACTCGGTTAAAAGGCTCGATTAACTAACTCATTTAGTGATTTAACCTCACTAACTCTCGTAATATGCGGAAAAACATAAAAGAGTAAATTAACGAGACAATCGACACATAGACAATACATTTCCGAACATGTCTACTGTAAACGAGCCAAGTTCTACTAATTTCGCCCCTCTCGTTTTGAAATCGATTGTATAGATTAAAATGGTGATCAAGCATTCAATCATAAGATTAATAAAACTCGCAAAGATTGAGTAATTGACATACACATAAACAAGAACGAACCGAAACGATTGTCCTCTAACCCTAGCTAGAGGATTAGTTGTTCATAATAATCTCAACATAATCATTCACATAAATATAAGTCATTCTCAATATAAACAAGATGAAAGAAATAACTTACTAATAATGTGAAATCCAAGAGCAAATGCAAACTTAATCCAAGGTACACAATGTCTCCAAATAATCCTCCAAAATACAAACTTAAGAACAAACTATGGAAAATGGAAAATGAGTGAAGAAAATGATACAAGATGATCCCATGGTGTTGAAAGATGGCCCTTATGTAGAAGAAATGTAAGAGAATGAGTAGTGGCCTCTTCTCCAACACCAAAACCAGATTTTTAGGTGGAAAACTTGGTCCAAAGCTCCCCATTTTCGAGCTCCCTCCAAACATGCCAGATTTTGAGGGAAAGAAAAAGTTTTTGTCTGTCAGGAGGGGTTAGCGGCCGCTAACCCCCCTTAGAGGCCACTAAGGGAATTCAGTTAAAAGCCTCAGCCCCAGTTATCTTTCCATAGCAGCGCTATCAGTAAGACCTTAGCGGCCGCTAAGGCCCCTTAGCGGTCGCTAAGGTCTGGGCTGCTAGAAATATTATTTTTTTGTGCTTTCGTGCTCTCGGTTAGCATCCCCTGGGTCCCGCTTGACCTGAATACTTAACCTCCACGCGTTTGGTCGCATGAAACGGTATGGGACTTCTCGGAATCGGATGGGAAATCGCTTCTTTAGTTTGTTCTCAACACCCGGACGACCTACTACCCGAAATTGCACCAACGGAAAAACACGGAAAACAAGGAAAAATAGGAATAAAAATAACAAAAATATCAAACATACCAAAATAACAAAGAAAACACACTAAACGACTAAATGGACCGGAAAAACCTAAGAAACGACCTAAAACGGGGGAAATGACAAACAAAATACTGACAAAAATAACAACAAAAATGGAACAAACAGGATGGGAACATTGTCGACCGATAATAATTGTCGACGGAACATTCCTGAAAGCTACTTACGGGGGCACACTAATAACAACAAGCACACAGGATGCAGCCGGCCATATACTTCCCCTTGCCTTTGGAGTGGTCGATTCTGAAAATAAGATTACATATGAATGGTTCTTTTCAAATTTGAAGACGAGTCTACCGGAAAGGAATAATTTATTCATCGTATCAGATCAACATGGTAGCTTACGAAATGCTTTCGCAAAGGTAAGATTCGTTTTATATTTAGTATTAAACAAGGTTTTTGTAAAATAATGTATTGTGTGAAAATGAAAGCTGAAGTTATCATAAATACAAAAAGGGGAACTAACAGTAAAGGGGAAAAAAAACATTACATTTAAATAGTTATTACTAAACAATATATAAAACATATTTACATTAAAATATTGTTATGTGGAAGTGCAGGTATATCCAGAAGTAAATCATTGTTTTTGTGCATATCACCTATCGAGGAATATTATTACAAACTACAAAGAAAACCTCGAGGTTGTGAAAGGAGCTTTCTTTGCTGCAGCATATGCTTACACAAATAATGAATTTACTCATCATATGGATATAACGGAAAAGGCAAACAAAAAAGTGGAGGAATATTTGAATTCAATAGGAGTTGATAAATGGTCTCGTGTTACCGTGTACATTGCAAGACACATAGGTTCTTGGTTACGACTTCAAATGCCGCACTACTACGAAGTCTGCACAAGATCTTCCAATCACACTATTGTTGGAGAGTGTTCGTGGAATGCAACAAGATTGGAATGTGAAAAACCGAAAAGAAGCTCAAAGCACGTTTACTAAGCTGGCAAAATTGGGTCAGAAGAAACTCGAAGGATATTACAAAGCTTCTATGAAACTTACTATAAGAAAAGTAATTGAATAGTGTGTTAATTAAATTTTATATTTTATTTGAATATATGGTTAGAAAAAATGAACAGGTACAACAACCAAGTGAAGATATTTTCAAAGTGAAGAATGGGACTCAAATATTCATTGTGAATATGAAAGAAAGGACTTGTTCATGTAACAAGTTTCAGATGGAAGAACTTTCTTGTGAAAGTGTCATCAAAGGGAAACAAGAAGAGCTGGAAGATTATTGTTTTGATTTCTACTTCACAAGCACATTGTTAGCTACATATAGTACAGCTGTATTTCTAGTTGATTATGAGATGAAGAATGATGCTTATGAAGGTAAAAATGAAATATCAATATTTCCCTCGAAAGAAATTACACTAACTGGAAGGAGGAAAAAGAAAAGATTTTATCCGGCTGGGAGCGCGGAAGCAAGAAACCACGTCAAGGACGTACATGATGATGGAAACATATGTACTTTTTTTTTAATTAATTGTAATCACTGTTACCTTTAAGATGAGTTTTTTTTCTTATTTTTATATATATTTTTATTTGTCGTATCAAGATCAATTCGTTCTTGCTTAAGATAGGTACAAAATATCATATTTTACAAAAATATTACAAGTATTAAAATGATTAAAATATTTAATAAAATAAAATAAAGTAACGTATGCGACCATAATTGAAATATGCAAATAACAATAATGATACTGAGAACATTTTTTCTTGAAAACAAGTATACAAACACACCAGTATCTTTAAAATGTCAAATTGTTTGTGTTGTTGGTTAGTCTAGTTGTGAGTGTGTTTTTTATTCTAGCGTTGCTAGTCGGGTTTCTAGGCGGGCTTCTGACCTGTTCTCCCACTTTTTCAGCTGTTGGCTGCTGTGTATTCGCACATTTGTGCATTTTAATTTATAAAACTTTCTATCGTTTCGGGAAAAAAAAAAATGTCAAATTGTTTTTTAAAGTAGCGTACTATTCATGTTGTACAAAATAATATATATTATACTAAACCAATTACCATTAGAGAAATCGTTATTGAATATAAGCCAGAGTCACTTCTGCAAAGAAATAATGTGTTTTGAAGCATAGTTTTATTAACAGAATTTTTTTATATTACTCCCTCCCGTTTTTTATAAATGTGTTTTGACTTTATTGACAATTAGTTTAATAAATGACGTTTTAGCTTTTTTATTCACATTTTTCCATTTTTATCCCCATCCATCTTTCCATATGTCTCTCCATATGAAGAAGATGAAGAGTCTTTCTTTATTAAAACAACATAATAAAGCTCAAAAGAAAATAATTAATTAATATTAATTCTCATTAAATAAGGCTAAAACTGGCAAAAAAAAATCCTTACCTCTTGTGCTTTTACACATAATGACATTTATAAAAAACCGGAGGGAGTAGTTAATAACAACATAAGGTAGTAATAAAAAATATGTTAACTAATGTAGTAAAGGAAACATAAGAACAACCTCAAAATAATCAAAAGATAGGTTAAAAGGCAAACAGTATCAGAAGTGCAACCCCAAAAAAATAAAAGTACTTGGAAATCCAGAAAGTTGTAGGAAAGTACAGTCATATTAGTCAACCAAAATAGGAAAACAATACATCTTAATCAAACATTGTTCAGTAAGTCTAGAAATCTATATAAAGCCAGGCATGTTGAATCGATCTCCTAGCTTCATCAGGCAAATTTCCAGGATATTGATCTTCACTTTCATATTCCTTTTCTAACTTGTTGCAACCATGTTCATACAACAAGAAAGGACATCTAATTGATGTGGAATCTTAAGACCTCTCATGAAGTACTACGCAAAAGCAACGACAAAAGCACCACAATCACTGACATTAAAAAAAAAAGTAGATATAATTATTAAAGAAATAAAAGTTAGAAGCAAAAAAAAAAAAATATGAACCAATGGTATTAAAATAGAATTAAAAATTACATAAAAGTTTTGCAAATTATCCATGGATAAAATATACAAGACCCCCTTGTATTATACGAAATTTGCGCGTTTCCCCCCTGTATTTTAAAAATTGCGTCAGACCTTTTGAGTGTTTCGCGCATACAAAACCTTAATAGAAGGGGGTCTGACGCAATTTTTAAAATACAGGGGAGAAACGCGCAGATTTCGTATAATACAGGGGGGTTTGGTGCATTAAACCCAATTATCCATGTTCTTGAGCAGGCAGGTCATCAACAAAAACATCAAGCGGGTCTGAGATCTTTTTGCTCACATATGCACCATCACCAATATATAACTCCTATCTTTTTTCAGGAAGTATAATTAAAAATAACAATCTGGGAAGCAACACAGAATAGCATTCCACACCCTTACGCATAACATTATGAATCTCGGGAGATCTTAAGCTATTGTAAACATAAAATATCCTTTCAGTAATATAAAGTCTTCCAAGTATCCAATGTCCCACACCATCTATCAAAATATGAATAGGGATCAACACATGGTCCACTAGGGTCCAATTCCTACCGCACATCATTTTGTAACCACACATGTAATCAACAATGTTGTTGTCAGGATAAATAAGATGTAGACAGAAACTTATCATAGTTATTCTTCATCTTTTGATGGAAAATGAGATCAGTAGTGGTGACACTCTATACAACCACAGGCAGGGAATGGAAGGCCATCTTTCGCAAATAATAGAAAATGACATCTATATGCTAAAAAAAAAATAATAAATAACTCAAAAATAAAGT